GCCGGGTCGACGTCGCCGCGCTCGGCGGCGACGCGCGCGCGTTCTGGCGCCTGCGCCGGGCGCCGAAGTGCCGCGGGTCCACGCCCCTCCACGCCGCCGCGGCCGCCGGCGCGGCGCCGGACGTCCTCGCGGCGCTGCTCGGCGGCGCGGTGGCCGCGCGGCGCGACGGCGCGGACGCGGCCGACGCCGCGTGGTCGCGCCTCGCCGCGGTCGACGGCTCCGGCCGCAGCCCCCTCGGCTGCGCGCTCGCCGCGGGGCACAAGGGCGCGGCGCTCTGGCTCCTGGGCCGCCTCGAGGCCTGCGCGCCGCCGAAGCCGCCGGGCGCGGGCGCGCGCGACGGCGACGCGCCCTGGCCCGAGCCCGACTTCGACCGCTGCTTCCTCGCGCCGGCGACGCGGACCCTGCGGCGCGCCGAGGCCGCGGAGCGGGCCTGGCAGCGCGCCGCGTCCACGGGCCGCGACGACGCGGAGCGCGCGGCGCTCGAGGCCGGCGGGCCCGCGCCGCGGCTCGCGACGGCCGTCGTCGACGGCGACGCGCGCGGCGCGCGGCTCGCGAGCGGCGCCGTCGCGGGCCTCTGGGCGGCGTCGGCGCCGCCGCTCCTGGCGGCGGACCGCGCGCGCGGGGCGCTGACGGCGCTGGGCGTCGCCGCGAGCGCCTTCGAGGACGGCGCGCCGCCGTTCCTGCGGAGCCGCGGTGCGCTCGAGGCCGCCGTGCCCCTCTCGGCGCTGCCGACCCTCAAGGCCCTGGGCGTCGTCGAGGCCGGCGCCGTGGCGGCGACCCTCGCCCTCTGCCACCTGCCGCCGGCGGACGCCGACGACGCCGAGGAGGCGCGGGGCGACGACGAGTCCGCGTCCGCGAAGAAGTCGCGCGCGTCCGCGCCGCGCCGCGCGGAACTCGAAACCTTCCACCCGACTTCGACGTGATCTACCGTTGTGACATTCGGTCGTGCTTCGAGAGCTCGACGAGCGCGAACACCTCCTCCAAGGATCGGCCACATCGCGAGAGAGTTCCGAAGTTCGGGCCCCGGCTCACCGGTCGCTTAGGTGCCGCCGGGCGTGCTCCGCGAGGTCCGCGAGTTCTGGGCGCGGCGGCGCAAGGGCGGCGCCGCGCCGACGTCGAGCGCCAACGAGCTCCACGACTTTTTGGCGCTCTGGCGCGACCGGCCCGACGCCGTGCTCGAGTGTTTGCGCGTCGCGCGCGCGACGCTCGCGTGGGCGCGGCGCGCGGCGGCCGCGCGCGTGCTCTGCGTCGTCGCCGCGTCCTGGGAGGCGCACAGCGCGGGGGGCGACGACGCCTTCGCGCTCGCGGGCCGCGCCCGGGGCCGCGGCGACCGGCTCGCCGACCTGGCCAAGGACGTCGCGGCCGCGCGGCGCGCGCTCGGCCACTGCGCGCACGCTTCCGGCCGCCTCGCGGAGGCGCGGCGCCACGCGCCGCGCCGCGCGGCGGCCGTGACGCGCAAGCTCCGGAGCGTGGACCTCGTGCACCGCCGCGAGTGGGCCGCGCTCTGCGGCGGGTCCGGGGCCGGCGTCCCGTGCGACCACACAAACAACAACACACCCCCTCGTAGGCCGGACGCGGACCTCGACGACCCGAAGCTCGCCGCGCTGCGGCGCGCGGCCGTCGGCGGCTGCTTCGCCGTCGCGAATCTGGTGCGCCGGAGCGACGCGCCCCGTCTCGACGCGGCGCCCCTGGAGCGCGCGTGGGACGCGCCGCGCGGGTCGTCGGAGTTCCGCGAGGCCGCCGAGGCCGCGGCCGCCGCGGCCCTCGCGGAGATGCGGTCCTTCGACGCGCGGACGGCGCGGGCCATGGGCCGCGGCGATCCCGCGCTCGTCGAGGCGCTCGCGGGCGTCAACCGGTCCGTCGACGACGCGCGCTACGCCGCGCGCGGCGGGCCCGACGGCCCGCGGCGCGCGGCCGCGGACGCGGCCGCGCGCTGGGTCGCCGCCGCGGCCGCGACGGCGGGCCACGCGCTCCTCGACGAGGCCTCGACCTCGGAGAACGTGCTCGGCGACGCGTTGGCGTCCCTGGGCGACGACGAGGACCTGCTGCCGCGGCTCCTGGACTGGCTCGGCCCGCCGCGGTGCGCGCGGCTCGCGCTGGACGCGGCCGGCGACGCGCCGTGCCCGCTCCGCGTCGCCGCGACGGCGCCCTGGGCGCCGCGCGTGCTCACGGCCCTGCTGCGCGCCGGCGCCGACGCGGCGGCGGCGCCGGCGCCGGACGGCGCGCCGAGCCTGCTCCGCGCGGCCCTCGAGGCCGCGCCGCGGTCCGACGCGGCGCGCGGCCGCGCGGCGTCCGCCGCGCGCGGCCACCGCGTCGCGCACACGGCGCTCCTCACGCTCCTCGCCGCGGACCCCGCCGCGGCCCTCGACGCCGGCGGCGACGGGTGCCTCGTCGCCGTCGCCTGCGCCAAGGGCTACCTCGACCTCGCGAGCTCGCTGCTCTCCGCGGGCGCGGCCGTCGCCGCGCCGCGCGGCGCCGCGGCCGCGCGGAC